TGTGTGTGTGTGTGTGTGTGTGTGTGTGTGTGTGTGTGTGTGTGTGTAAGTAAAAGGAGACTATTACCACCTGTACTACCTACTTCCAAGGTTGTTATGAAGATCAAATGAAATGATGAATGTAAAATGTTTTGCCTAAAAGAAAACATTACATCAACATCAGTTATTATCATTTACCAGGAAGCAGGGGGTAGGCCCCCAAACGGTGCAATTGGGTTCCATTTTCCAGCAATGTCTGGCCATGAAAGTGAACCACATGAATGTCCTGGGAACCGCCCATGTTCAGCAAGTGCCATCTCACATTCTCCTTCGCATACATCCTTAGTCCTGGCAAATTGTAGATGCGACCATTGATGGCTGAAAGGATAGAGGGTCACAACCAGTTAAAAAACAATCCAAAATGATTCAACTCATCTTAACAAATTTTCATTAAGTGCCTGTTTTGTGCACGAGCATTGTGGTAGGTGCTGGAGGAGATATAAAATTTTAGACACAGTCCCTGCCCTTGGGGTGCTTATTTTAAATAAGAGGATATGATATAGATAATTTTTTTTCTTTTTTAAAAAAATTCAACTTCATTTTATTTATTCATTTAATTAATTATATATAGGCAATTGGGGTTAAGTGACTTGCCCAGGGTCACACAGCTAATAAGTGTCAAGTGCTTGGTCTGAGGTCAGATTTGAACTTGGGTCCTCCTGACTTCAGGGCCAGTGCTGTATCCACTGTGGCCCCTAGCTGCCCCCATTTTATTTTTAGACTAGAATTCTCTCCCTCCCTTGCCCCCTTTTCCCACTCATTGAAAAAGAAAAACAAAAACTATTATAAATATGATAGCCAATTTCCACACTAACAATATCCAATAAGTTAAAGGTATATTATTTTATATATTATAAAAATAATATTATTTAATATTTAGCCATGCCAAAAATAAAAAATAAATATGCATTAATCTATACTCTGAGTCCATCACCTTCTATCTGGCTGTGTATAGCAAAATAGAGATAATTATGGTATAATCTTTTGAGTTACAAAATGATATTTGTGAATTCTAAACAGATTATTACTAATTCAAATGGTCAAATGAGATAATAGATTTAAAGTGTTTTGCAAACCTTAAAGTACTATATACAAGCTAGTTATCATTATTATTAACAGGAGGGATCAGGAAAGGTTCCCTGAAAGAGTTGACATTTGAGTTAGGCTATTGAGTTAATGTGTTGTCTTTCTCCATTAGACTGTAAGCTCCTTGAAGGCAGAACTGTTTTTCTTCCTCTTTGTATTTTTATACTTACTGCTCAGTGCAGGGCCTGACCCATAATAAGTATTTAATAAATCCTTGTTGTCTTGACTTGATAGTTTGAATGGATTTGGAAGTGGTTGAATGATTGTATCCCCTAAGTAGTGATTAATAGATCTATATTGATCTGAAGAGAGGTCTCTAGGGAAATATGACCCAGGGAACTTTAAACATTTTTTATCAATAACTTGGATGAAGGCTAAATTTGCAGATGATAAAAACTAGAAAAAGTAGGTCATATATTAAATGACAGAATAAGGGCCCAAAATATTTTTAACAAGAGAATGGATTATGGGACAAATCTAGGAAAAGGAAATGTAATAAGAGTAAACAGAAAGTTCTATACTTTCCATTTTTAAAAGTTGAAACTAAACTTAAAATTTCACAAGTATAGAAAATGGGAGGTGTGGCAACATGACCCTTCATATTCTAGCTCTAGAAGATCTTTCCATGACCAGTTTTATACTATTTCCCATCATACGTTCTATGTTCTAACCAAACTGTCCAACAGGCTGTTTCTTGTATATGACACTGTATCTCCTTCCTTTATACAAGTTATCTTCCATGTCTGGAATGCACAGCATTCCTTTCTTAACTCTTGTCATAGTACAGCCATCTCTCATATGCATCCTTTCCTCATCCTGTTCTGAGTACTCTCCCCAACAACCCCCACCCCCGAATTATTTTGTATTTACTTCACATTTTTATTGACTTCTCTATGAACATGT